CTCATGGATAATGTTGGGCTTATTAAGAGTGTTACCATAGTCACGTGTTGGGGCCATTTAAGAGTATGACCATAGTAACTAATATAATACATATAAATGGAAAGATATGCACTGTTTTTATAATTTAATTTGTATTTTATCATTAACATCAGAATTAGTTAAGTCTTATGATTTATCCAATACAATATAAAGTGAGATAAAGTAATTAACTTCTAATTGTACATGTACTCATTGGCCCATAAAATATCATATTCCATCTATTAGTAAATAGTGATCTTGTTTGTTTCATTTTCAACTTCGTTTGCAATCGTTTAAGTCATTTAAATTTTTTCCAGTCTTAAAATGTTTTTTAGATGAGACATCGTGCTTTATTTTTTATTAATCAACTTTTTACATTAAAACTACTTGAGTACAATTTTGGGACTACATACTCTCCACGAATTCGACCCGCCTAAGTAGCAATATGTGTTTTGTTTAGACGCATTGAGCCATTGACAACAACATGCAAAAGACTAATTAATCCCCCAACTTTCCCATTTTTCAAAGTGTACAAAATAGCACAGATTTATTGAAGTCACCAAGTCACTATCGTAATTAAGGAATTTCAGACTTTATAGCGCGTCCAGATTTTAAGAGCCGTTCATTCCACCTACTATTCACGCCACAAATTTATTGAAGCAATTCAACCAACGCACACGCCACACACCACCAGTCTCCGGGCCTCGTTGCCTTAACCAACACCTTGCAACAACCATGTTGCTGTATGATCACCAACCAACATTTATTTTCTCAAGTAATCGTCCTATAAATTCACATATATGATAAACATCCAATTTCCTATCACAAGTAAAGACACCGAAATGGATATCACCACCACTAACGGTGGCGTATGGGAGAGACATGTTGCAGTTTTTGCATTTCCTTTCGCTTCTCACCCTCCGCTCCTTCTAAGCCTAGTCCAGAGACTAGCCTCTGCCGCCCCTACGGCGGTTTTCTCCTTCTTCAACACCCGAAAATCTAACCGGACATTGTTCTCTGAGCTCAGTTGTGACAACATACGGCCGTATGATGTCTCCGACGGCATACCAGAGGATTATGCTTTTGTGGGGAAGCCTCAGGAGGATATTAACTTGTTTCTGGCGGTGGCGGAGGAGGAGTTTAGGAGGGGTGTGAATGTGGCGGAGGAGGATATCGGACTGAGAATCAACTGCCTGGTGGTGGATGCTTTTATTTGGTTTTCCAGTCAGATGGCGGAGGATTTGAACATTCCTTGGGTGTCGTTTTGGACTGCCGGAGCTTGTTCTCTCTCTGCACATTTTTACACTGACCTCATTAGGGAAAAAGGTGCTCAACTCAAAGGTAAAGTAAACATGATCTTAACGTATTCTTTTTCTTTTTTTATTTCAATAAACAAATGTATACACAAACTATACAACAATTAAGACATGCATCTTAACAGGTAATTCAGTTGGGCCTGACAAGGAAGTGGTTGACTTGATCCCTGGATTCTCAACGATTCGAGTAGGCGACTTACCAGGTGGAGTCCTCTTTGGAAACCTCGAATCACCATTCTCAACCATGCTACATAACATGGGAAGAACCCTAGACAAAGCCACCGTTGTTGCAATAAACTCATTTCAAGAACTAGACACTGATCTCACCAAAAACCTCTCTTCAAAATTCAACAACTTTCTCAACATTGGTCCCTTCCATCTCATCTCCAAACAAAAACCAACGTCCAAATTTGATGAATTTTCATGCAGTTCTTGGTTAGATAGTCAAAAGCCAAGATCAGTGGCCTACATCTCCTTTGGCACAATATGCAGGCTTCTGCCAGATGAGATAGTCGCTTTGGCTGAAACACTTGAAGAGACCAAAACCCCGTTTCTTTGGTCACTCAACAACGATTTCATGAAGCATTTACCAGATGGGTTCTTGAAGAGAACAACTGCGAATGGATTAGGGAAAGTTGTATCATGGGCCCCACAGGTACAAGTCTTGGAGCATTTCGCAATAAGTGTGTTTGTAACACATGGTGGATGGAACTCTGTGTTGGAGAGCATTGGAGCTGGTGTTCCGATGATATGTAGGCCGTTTTTAGGGGACCAACAGATGAATACTTGGATGGTTGAGAGAGTTTGGGGGATAGGGGTGAGAATTGAAGGCGGGAAATTCACGAAAGAAGGAACTAGTTGTGCTCTTGAACATATATTATCGCTCAATGATTCGTCGAAAAAGGTGAAGGAGAGGATTGAAACTTTGAAAGAGCTTGCTCACGAGGCAGTTGGATCAAACGGGAGTTCTAATCAAAATTTCATGACTTTAGTGGATGTGGTCACTAATGCCACCCTCTGATCTTCTGTCTTGGAGCATTATAATGAATTGAAGTTGTGAAAGTCATTATGTTAATGCAGCTATCTATAGTTTTTAGTTTTAATCTTGATTTTTTTAGAATTTTAATTAAAGAAATTATCAAGGATAATGACTAAAAGTAATATATTTTTCGATTTATACATATTTAGTCATTGGGTTTTTTTATTGTTCATATTTGTCCCTTCAATTTGTTTAACTGTACACATTTAGTCCTTAACTATTCCAGGTAAACCGAAAAAAATGAATTAATAGGATAATATATTTCTCATTTTGAACACATTTAGTAATTAATATTTTTTTGCTCATTTAGTCATTAATATTTTTTGTTGCAAAATAAGTCATTCTCGTTTTTGTACACATCTTATACTTATGAGCAGTTTCTTTAGTTTTTCTCATAGCATCCTACGTCGTAACTTCTTCATACAATCTTAGATTTTATTGATCTTTATATCTACACATTCATAGTAATATATTTTTACTTACAATTTTTATATACATGTATTCTTTATTAATGTATGTATGAACCTTTTTTTATAAAATCGTAAATAAAAACATATTACTTCTTAATGGGAGTTATCGAAACGAAAATTATAGTAGACTCAAGTACGAACGCCTAGATATAAAGATCGTTAAAATCCAGGATCGTATGAAGAAGTTGCAGCGTTGAAAACACAAGAACTAAGCACCAAGCGGTCGAGGCCGTGTTAGTCATAAACATCAACAACCCTGAACACCTCATTAATTATTGTATCAAGTAGGATGTCGTGATAAAAACCTATGTACAAAAACAACGACTTATTTTGCAACCAAAAAAATATTAAGTACTAAATATGAAAAAAATATTAAGGACTAAATTTGTAGAAAGTGAGAAATATATTATACAATTAAGTTATTTTTTTCCGGCTTAGTTGGAGTAGCCGGTCATAAGGAATGAATGTGTACAGTTACACAAGCTGAAAGGACAAATGTCGACGAAAAAAATCCAGTGACCAAATATGTATAAATCGAAAAGTATATTACCCTTTTAAATCATTATCTCTAAAATCAATTATTAATATATAACCTATGCAATAACTAGAATTTAATGAAAAAATAAAGGGAAATTGAGTAAACTAATCATTATAAACGAGATTTTCCAATTAAGAAAATAATCACATTTTTTCGGTTTTTGAAAAATAACTACTTTCTCCGAAATGCTTAATTTCGGAGTAATGTTCATTATTTTTTTAATATTAATATTTATTTATTTTTATTATTTTTATTTTAGTTTTTAAAGAAGTTATTTGTTTTTTTTAGGATTCCGAAGGCTACATTTCATAATCTTTAATTTCACCGTCTTTCAACTCCGAAATGATATTCCAGATTCCGGACTAAAATTTCGGAGAAAAAAAACTTCGAGATTTCAAGAACAAGTCTGAAATCCGAAGAACAAGTTTAGAATTTCAAGAAAAAAATCATTTTTTTTCTTAGTTTAACAAAAAATCAAACAAACATAGTAATATTAACTATATACAATATGAGTGAATAAAATTAAATATTTTATTGAAAAACGGTAACATTAAACATTACGAAATGTAGCATTCAGAATCATAAACAAATCACAATAATTTCTTTGAAAATTGAAGGAAAAAAACTAAAAAAATGTGAACAGTACTCCGGAATTAAGCATTCTGAAAAAAGTGATTATTATTTAAAAACTAAAATAATATAATTATTTTTTCAAAGACCTCATTGGTTAGTTTTCTTAGTTTCCCTTTTAATAAATCCATGCTAATCTGATTTTATTGCAAGAGGGTGATTAGTTTACGCCCCCATCGAAAAGTTAAAGGGAAATTGAGTAAGCTAAACATATTTTTGGTTTTTTTTTTTTTTTCTAAATTATAAATATGACCATTTTTTATTTTATTTTAAACTAACAATTTGGTCCGAATGTGTCATTTCGACCCGAAAACCAACCTAAGCCCAAATATTG